CGTCACTTGATGACGTCCTGGTAACGGTTGTCAGACAAAACATCAAATGTCTCGCGTTTTGTATTAATCGCTGTTTTGTTAATCAACACTTACATAGTTTATGAAGCACTTTATCGAGTTGATGCTTCTATTCGCGACCTGTCCCCTCTTTCATTATTGCCTCATCCTGTTTGGGGCGGTGATGAAAGACAAGCACGCCTTGACTACATGTATAAGATGAGGCAAAGGGCAGCGCGGTGGCCGATGGCAGGAGGGAGGCGAGGCGGCAGGAGAGGCAGGAGAGGCAGGGGCGCCTGCTGAGGAGCGAGGCCGTTTCGCCAAAGGGATACTTCAAGTAGAACACAGAAAATAGACAAAAGGAATGTGTGGGATTGGCTTGGGGCAAGGGGGTCTCGATCCTGGGTAGGGGAGTCGTTGTTGTTGGGACTAGGTTTGCTTGGCTAGCTTCTGCTTGGGCTGTAATCCGGGACCAGGGCAGGGTTTGACGGGAACAGGATTGAGAAGGGTGCGCGTGGTTGAGTGGCATTTTCTCGCACGCCAGCCAGCTTCAAACAAGACGCGCTTGGACAGCTTGACCGACCGAGCGCCCAATATCAGTTGACCGTGAGTAAATGTGGTGGTGCCGCACCACTGGTCGTTGGCAGTGGTCTTGTGTTTCCTCACGCATCATGTCGGCTGGCTGCAAATAGTTTCATTTGCGTTCAGCACCACATCATCAGGCTCATCACCCCCCAGAGTGAGCGATATGCCCTTGACTCCCGATGCCAAAATGCAGCGCGAGGCCGCCCTAAAGGTGGGTGGACCCGATACCTTGGACGCCCGCCAGCAGGACTTTTGAGCCTCCCGGAAGAGTTGGCATACAAGTTGCCAACTACCGATTCATCTCAATGTCCGTCAACGCTTGTAGGCGGATCTCACCGTGGCTGACCAAGCCCACGGCGGCTTCTTCAACAACACTGTGAAAAAGGTTCGCCAGTGGGGCCTTTCTTCCATTTCTTCCTCCTTTCCACCGGCCCCCTGCCCCATCGCCTTCACCATACAACTTCCTCAATGATGTGGGTGTGTTCTGATATTGCGCACAGCGCCAGCCAGGTATTCCAGAAAATGTGTTTGACCGCACTCAAGCTCTACGCCAACCCAGCGTGGAGGCCGTGAGCAAGAAGCATCGCGACGGTACGTGACGGCCACAGTAGGTTGGTTGCGGAATTGCAAACTTTCACTAATGCTCAATACACACCCGGTCATCGTCGTTTCTTTTACAGATCGCAAAACGCCAAAAGACCTTAGCATTCACACAGAGGTGGGTCGCCAAACATTGCGATTGACTGCTGTCTTCCTCGAGCTTGCCTCTTTTTTATCCTCTCATTCATGTGTGGCAACGAATCGTCCGATAAATTTGAGCAGGAACAGGATCGTGTCGTTCCAGTCCGTTCGAGCTCCATCTACGGCAGCCGCAAGCCCATTGATACCCTGGATCTCAACAACGGACGCAAGGCCATTGTGCGCCAATCCTTTTATACAGATTCGCGTGTTCAAACTTGATGTGCAACCATCTGGCCACAAAGCACCAACTCCCTGGCCACAAGCACCAAGCCCCGTCAACTCAACACGACCGCGTCTTGCGCAGCAGTGCACGGTGACGCCGAGGCGTTGTCGTTCAATCATCCATTCACTTTCTTTTCTTCGTTTTTAGTTAAATCCCTTTGCACCTGGGGCTCCACCCCCTCCCCGTCTGTGACGTGTGCCAGAGAGTGGTTCTTTCCTTCAAGTGCCTAAGTCATCTAATTGATAATTTGACTGAGACAAAACGTGCCGACTGCATTGGCGCGGGCCACACACCCGGTGACCAGCAGCCCAATCTTCAAACGCTCTCCCGAACAAAAAGGGAAACACACAACCAGAACACCTTTGGGAGTGAAACGTGCTCGGAATAAGATCATGACATTGAAGTGATAACTCAAACCACAAACACAACAACCCTCACACGTCGAGTAATTGAGTTGAAACGAAGCCAGCTTGATTGCTCAAACTTTTCAAAAGGATTGGTCGTCCCATGCAGCACCTGATGGCAATGATTGTAATGCCGTAAGCAAACGCGAAGGGACAGGTCTCAACGCTTGGCGCCTTTTCTCTCCTGCATTTCTCAAAGCCAAAGCGCGACTCACCGTTGATGAGATACTCAATCAGGCTTGTGACGGGAGCCGTTAAGAGATCCGGTTCGCCATCCCCAGTCATATCCACCAGATCGACAACGACGTTGTCCGTGACACGATAGCTGATACTGCTTTCCAGGGTCAGCTGGTCGTCTTCAAGAGCTCGCACGCGTGAGTCAATAGACTTGTACACCAGAACATCCATGGTCGTACTAGTGGAAGCACCACTGATCACAATGTCAAACACGTCGTCGTTGGTGGCGTCCCCCACGTCCAGGGAGGAGAAGGACGTGATGGGCAGCGTCTTGCTAAACTCTAATCCCACGTCTTCAGATGGCAGGATGACGAGGGACGTGTTGGCTGTGCGGCTGCTGCGGGCCGCCGTGACAATAAGCACATCGGTGCTTTCACTGCTCATGAATGGGCCCACGGCCAAGCGTACAATATCACTTGTCGTGGAGGACAGCGCGTAGATTGAAGACACGACGGGAGTGCCTGCAGAAATGTTTTGCATGACATACACCTCGTCGTAACCGCTGAAGAAGAGCCGCGTGTGGTCGCGAGGATCGAGGGCCATGTCCGAGATGAACGAATCGTAGACACTCACAGAAATGACACGATGGGTGAAAACACCATTCCCCTGGTGCTGCACGACCGCGATGGCGCGCACCGATGAAGCGAGCAGCACAAAGTCACCGTTGTAGCCGCGCGAGGAGAGGTCAGCGGGAATGATCTTTCCGTAGTTGTAGAGGCCAATCGTGGTCCACGCTGCAAAGCTCCCCGGTCCTGTATGGCGCAGTGTCTTGACACCGGTATATGTGATGTACACAATGTCCAGTGCAGTGGGGCTGCTGAGATGGACGGTGGCCATCTCCACGGTGGATTCGGCGCCCGTGATGGCTGTGGCTGCCCACTCATCATTCTCATTGCGTGAAAGAAGCTTGAGAGGGAGGTTATAAACGAACCCAACGACAATATCCGTTTTGTTATCGCCCGTAAAATCACCGGTAACCAACGAGTCAATGTTGGGAATGATGGCCCCCGGTGCGAGGTCGGCAACCAAGTCGACGGCCTTGCGCGGGCCAAAGCTGCCAAGTACTCGCTTAAAGTAGCTACGCGAAGTAACGGACGTATCCACGCCCTCTCGGGAGCCCAACGCAGAGAGGCCATCACACACGTCCACGTAGCCGGTGGTAGGTCCACTCCACACAAAGGTAGCCAGACAGGCATCCAGCTTGGAGCACCGTGCCTCACACAGCTCCACCCCCTGAAACTCTCGGAAGAGGCGATGCCCCTCGATGAAAGCTGTGGAGATGCGTCGGGACGGATAAGCGCTGTCTTGTGTGTCAAAGATCTTTTCAAAGACAAAGTTGCTGGCAGCCTTGGCCACGGTCTCCGTCGTGTTGATCAGCTATCAGGAAGGGAGACATGACCCAAGCTCGAATCAGTGACAAACAACATGAATCACAGATATGCTCTCTGTGGTCTTCGTCTGGGCGGCTCTCCGGGCAGATGTGGGCCATGGTCGCGTACCTTGGCAAAACTGAATGAATAGAGGTCAGTGGGATATCCGCCGTTGATGCCCAGATGAGCCAGACCAACGCAATGGTAGAGCTGCGCGTCGGTGGGGTCATCCCCACTGTCCACGTAGAGAAAAAAGCCCAAGCACTCATCGTCGGCGTTGCAAGCCTCTTTGCAAGGGGTGAAACTCAGTTGGCGCGTCCAGAGACGAATGGATGGATTAGTGGCAAAGGCCGTCGAAAAGCGTAGGGGTGTCTTATCTTCATCCCCCGTTGCCCCTTCGTAGCGCATTGTGTAGTTGTACTTTTCCAGCACTGTAATGTTGACGGCACGACGCGCCAGATGCTGCTGTGCGTTGTTCTGAGTGTGCCACAAGGCAACGCCGACAAGCCCTGCCAAGAGCAGCAGTACTAGCGCAGGGCGCCATGTTCGCCGGAGGCCAGCCGCTGTGGAAGCACCAGCAGTCGTCGGACTCGTCATTGCCATGGCGATCAGGTGTTGTTATGAGCGTTGTGGCAGAATGACGTAGATCGCAGGCGTGGTCAACCATGAAACGCGCCCGCAGAATGGATAACTATTTTGGCCTAAATCAGAAGGGATCACTCAATGTTGGACCCAATTGAGTTGAGAAGCACCGCTCACTCGAAATGAAGAAGCTAAAGTCCACACTGCGCTAGCGGCAGCTGAAAGGATGTCACAGCTTTGCGCGGGCAATGCAAGGAGCAAGTATTTGCCACAAGGTGGGCAGTGAAGATTGCGAGCGAGCTCAAGCACAATTCATAAGTGCGGATATCAGTGACTGCCAGGCTGACTACCAAGATAGACTGCAGCGACACGCATTGAAAATAATACAAACGGCATACGCACGAACAAGTGGAAGGCATGAGGGGTCGTGACGCGACACGCTTCAGGCCAAGAGCATTGTCGACGGCGACCTTGTGCGCGCACACGAGGCGAGCAGACACTTTCTTACCAAATCAAGTGTCGGCCAGCGTGCCGACGACGGTAACCCCGGCCGTTTAACCTTCAACTTGTATCCGAGGTGATTCAGGTCGACAGCTCGAAAACAGACCTGCCAACGACACCGAGGGACGACGACCAGGACGTCCACACGGATAGATTGGCTCAACGATCCGTCGACATAAAAAAAATGTGTGTGTAGCCAAAGCACCAATTGACCACCACACGTGCACATCAAAAATCAAGCTAACCCGCATGCACTTTTACACACACACACACATACACACACACACACACACACACACACACACACACACAACAGATATACACACGCCCCTTACTATGAACGATGACTATGTGTGAAAATTTAACGTTGTTGACTGTATGTTCGAAGCAAACAGGTGTGGCTGGCATGGCCATTGTTCAGTTTTGCTTTGTATACTACACTGCTTTTGACGCTGGTTTGGTGCGTTTTGATTTTTTTTTTTTGTACTCCTATGGTTGCCTACGGTTTGACTTGGGTCGATGGTTTCAACGTGAACATGGGCAGCCTTGCAATATAGTGCCCTGATCTCAGCACAATTGCACTCATTTTCCTTAGTCGCCGGGTCGCGAGTCACACAAACATCAGAGAATCAAATTGTGTGTGTGTGTGTGTGTGTGTGTGTGTGTGAAAACTCTTTCTGCACAAAATTTCGATTTGTCGACAAAAAAAAAAACTTGAAAACAAAGCTCAGGAAACAATGTGCAAAGAGTGAGTTGAAAAAGAATACCCATATTTTTCAGGAAGAACTGATACAGGTTTTTAGTGTGACAAGCAGTTTTTTGGTCTTGAACGGGCCTGCGTACAAAATGGCAGCGCTGGGTTTGGTTTCGGCGTCGCGACGGGGATTGCATGCTTCGTGGCGGGCTGCGTCTTCACGGCAGCTTCATGCCACGCTCAAGGATGTGCTTGTTTGCCCCATCACGAAGGGACCGCTGTAAGTCGTAAAGCCGACGCCAACCTGATGCATCGTGCGTGCGTCGTGTCATCGCTTGCTCACTCCTGCTCGCTCCTGCTTCAAACGCTTTAGGACTGTTGTCTCGGATGGCTTGGAAGCATCTTATGATCAACTGCACTACAAGTATCCGCTGGTGAACGACGGCACTCCCTCGCTCATCCCCACAGAGGCCGAGGTCCTGGGCCGCGTTGAAGCAGCACCTGAGCCACCGAGTCCCAAGTCTTCGAACAACAACTGAGCCCCAGAGTGTCGACTCCCGCGCTCCTCGTGTACAACCCAACAGACCATGGACAATGATGTGGCATAGGTCCTTGGCGTCGGGGGGTCAGGCTCAGGCTCTACTTTTTCTGCTATGAGGCCACTCTGCTTCTCTGCAGAATGAAACTTGACATAACGTTTGAAACGGGCTTTGATTGCTTATTGCTTTCGCGCCGAGCGCCAGCAATTTGCTTGGATGTCTCCCGACCTTTCCGCGCTGAGCGCGGCCTGCGCGAGCGAGCTCATCACTTGCACCCCGCACCCACTCGTTTTTGGAATTCAAACCCTTAAGAGCGTCTTCTCTCTGGTTTCAATGGAGCGTTGTTGACTTGGAGGCCTACTGTGTTGAACTGTATCAGCTTGCGTTGCCCACATATGGTGCCTCTCAAGTGTGCAGATGGTTAATGAGGTTGCAGCGGTGGACTATTGCATTTCGATTTTAGATATAACTGTTAGCTGCTAGTCAAGGCGGAGGAGGAAGGCCCAACCTCCCTTGATATATCCGGATTCTTGATACAAATGGCGTGCCCGCTTTTAGTAAATGTAGGGGATGAGCAGGGCCGTGTCGCGCTCGTATTGCTGGAAGGCAGGTTGATCGCCGTATTTTTGCTGGTGGTGCTTCTCCGAAGCGGGCACACCCGAAACGAAGAGGAGCAGGTAGGTGGTAAAGATGGGGGAGAGAATGGCCAAATGTCCCCAGCCACGCAGGACGGGCAGAGACAGCAAGTACAGGCTTGTGGTCATCATAATCTCGCCAAAATCTAATCAGGCATGGCAAGCAGGCAAAGGTGAAATTTTGGCCGACCGGAGAAACTATGAAAAGAGACGAGAGAGTGTGCGTGCAAGTGTGTGTGTGTGTGTGCGTGTGTGTGTGCGTGTGTGTGTGCGTGTAAAGGGAAGCAACTTACAGTTGGGATGACGGCTAAGGCCCCAAAAGCCCGAATGAATAAACTTGCCCTCATTCTCCGGGTTGGCCTTAAAGGCCATCTTTTGGAGATCGGCGCCCGCCTCAAAGACGAGGCCCAGCAAGAAAAGACCCGCAGCCGCATAGCCGGCTGGGCCCATGGGAACAGTGCGCTTGGACAGGTTGGTCAACAGCGTGGGTAGCGAGACGACGAGAACCCAGATGCCTTGGACAAACCAGACAAAGGCGAATCGCATGGGGTTGCCGCGAATGCTGTCAAAGCGCCCATCATGACCCTCCTTCGAAACGCGGTGAAAGAGAAAGGCGGCGAGGTACAACCGAGCCACGCTCAAGCCCGCCGTCGAGATGAGCTTGCGCACGTTGGAGAAGCCTTGCCTAAGAGGTGGCAACGCACAGGCATGGACACCACGTTATGCCAGTAGCGAACAAGCGGTCGGCACTTGGACTTGTGCTCGCAGCCAAACCACGAGCGGGTCGACATACCGATACGTCGCGAGCGCCAGGAGCACAAAGGTGAGTGAGCCCGTCAGATCAAAGTAGCGCTCGGTCTTCTCAGCAATGGAGTAGGCGCCGACGGCCGCCTGGAGTCCAAAGTCCAGGGCCGCAGCCCATAACAGCCCAAAGCCCATGTGTGCGGTGCTGAGTCGAAGTTTGGTCGAGTTGGTGCTCAAGAAGCGAGCGGTGCCGGACACGCTATCGCGAACGGAGGACTTGAAGCGAGTGCCAGTAGATGAAATCCGAGTCAGACAGCGGCGAGCAAGAAGAGGTGGCCAGCCGGTGGGGCGTGAAAAATGCGACAGGGATCGCTGCGTTGATGTAAACGTGGGTATGAGACCAAGAGCTGGCCGAGCGGGCAGGGCTCCAAGTCGACCACGCGTGATGAGTCGCTGAAGCTGACACGAAAGTTGCCGACCACCACCAGTGGTCAACGTAGCATTCGTCCTGGACGGGAGGGAGGCCGCAGAGGCAGTCCCAAAGCAAGCCCGCGCAGCGATCACACCACCTTCACGCACACACGATCGTGATCGCACCAGCCTCGACCCAGCGTGATAGGAAGGTCTGATGATGAACACCCGCTGCGCCAAGCTTGCAAACTGTTGCGACATGTTCATGATGACTTTCTCCTGAACACTCTCTCAACTCTCACAGGTTGTCAGCTATAACGGAGGCGCTGGGCGGCGGATCATCGGGGGTTTGGTTGGCGTGGAGGGTTGCGCCCGTGATGAAAAAATGCGGGTGGAGGGGCCACGATGCGGGCCATCCAGATGTGGAAGGCCAGCGTGCGTGGTGATGGGGAACGGGCACACATCGCCCGGGCGGGGGTCGGGAGTGCTGGTGTGCACATGAAGAAGAACAGGAAGGAAGGAAGGAAGGAAGGAGAAGCTCAAAAGCTCAAGAAGCCAAGGAAGCAACATGAAGGAAGTTTGGCGGATCTTGGTTCTTATGTCAGACAAAGTTTCAAACAGATGTTTCAAACGAGTTACAGGATAGGTGTTGTCAACAACTGTTGTGGTTCTCCCTCTCTTTCTCTGTTTCTGTCTCTCTCTCTCTCTCTCTTCTGACGGCACACACACTTTGAGACGAACTGACAGCAGCGTTCGAGTTTGTCTGCTGCCTTGCCCTCCCCGTCTTGGTCCACGCGTCTGCCTCCCTCCGTTGCCTAGCGTTCACCTCTGGGTACAGCCAGCAGTGAGTGTAGCGAGGTTGGCCTCGTGTCCCGTGGTCTCCCTGCGTGGGGCGCGGACCACGCCGACCTCAGTAGGTCGGGAGGGGACGACGCACAAAGTCGAGCTGCTCTCGGTACGTAACCCGTGACCTGCTCCCCATCTCCATTCCGTGCATCAGCATGCACCATGGGGCTCCATTGCCCCATCTCTTCTCTGCCATGAGCATCAGCTGTCGTGCGCGCTCTTCTTCGACTTTTTTTCGGGGCTCCAGCTCACCGTGTGACTCGGCGTAGGTCAGCAGCGCTGGGGTGTCTTGTGCGTGTGCGGCGGGCCAGCGCCTGGCCTGCGTCCTCGCCGGCCTCCTTCTTTTTCCCTACTGATGCGGAGGCGTAGTGTGCATTCCCTTCACAGCCAGTAGCTATGGCTGCCACTGGTTGGCATGCTGAGCGGCCTGCGCTTGCCACCACAGCCGAAGGCCAAGCCAGTGCTCCCGAACGCTTCGACCTGACCTCCATCTTCGGAGATCTCTCCAGCAAAGACAAAAGGCTGCGCGATGACGCAGCCGTGCGCCTCTATCGCTTTGTGCGTCAAACTTGCACCCGTTCAAGACCCCTGTCCTCATGGAACATAATCGCTTCTCCCGCGCCCTGTTCCGTCACGTCCCGTGCGGCGCTGCCCCTCCAACTTACCTCGTGCCACACGTCACCCTGAGCAGGTGGCCAAGACTTCGAAGCGCCTCGATGCCTCGGAACTCGAGGTTTTCATGCAACAGCTGCTTCAAGAAATAGCCCGCCTGCTAAACACCAAGACCAAGCACGAACAGTTGGGTGGGATCGAGGCCATTGACCAGATCATCCGCATCCCCCACAGCGGCGTCACCACCGCTGTCAATTGTAATCAGTTTGGTACATATCTGCGCAATGTCCTTCCCCCCACCTGCAATGATCTCGAGGTCATCAAGGTTGCTGCTGAAGTCTTGGGTACGCGAACACGCCGCTCCTTGCCTTTTGACCGCCACCTCCGTCTGCCTGACTAGTCCTCTGTCTCACAACTTCATAACCAACCACAATTGTTTCGCTGCCCTAACCCCTCGACAGGTCGCCTTGCCACGCGTGGTACTGGAGCCATGACTCCCAAGTTCATCACCATGCATTCGGACCGCGCCCTCGAATGGCTTGAGCACAGTACGTAATGGCAGCTGACGACATGCTTGTCCCACCACCCTGCGCGCATGTCCCTCGTTCAGACCGTAGCCCCAAGCGTGGCGCCGTGCTAGCACTTACAGGAAACCGCTCCCTGTGCTTCACCCATCCGTCTTAACAACAGCGAGCACCCGGTCCGAGGCTAAGCGTTATGCAGCAGCACTGGTGTTACACGAGCTCTGCAAAGCGCAGCCCACACATTTTTATCCCTACATCCCCAAGGTCATGCGCCACATTTTTGTCGCCGTTCACGACATCAAGGTCGGTCTGTGATGCCACGTTCAAGTATGGCGTCTCCAATGCCTGTTCTTTTCGGGCAGTTGAACCAAGTCAATGAATGCGCACACCACGCCGACACACATTGATCGCTTGTGCGTGTGCATGCCATGGGTCATGTTATGCAGTTGTCGGTCCGCGTGGCCGCCTCCCACACGCTTCGCACCTGCCTCAAATTGTGGCGTGATCGCGCCCTATACCCGAGTATATATGCCCGCATCGAAGAGGGTCTCTCAGTCAAACGCGAAGAAAGGTACGCGCACCCCCTCTCGTCCAAAGCTCTGCACTACACAGCAACAATAAGCGCTTTGCCTCTCTTCAGGACGTCATTGTATATTTGCCTACTCAAGTTTGACCAATGCCATTCTCCCTCTACCCCAGCATTCACGGGTCATTGCTAGCGGCCGCGGCCTTTGTGGACCTGACCGGCCAGTATATGCAGCAAACACATTATTTTGATTCCGTACGGCCCTGTCTGGACCCGTGCCTGTCTTGCTGTTGCCGCCACTTCTCTCATCTTCTCATCTTTGGCATGGTCGACTTTCGGCAGGTGTGCGACGCAGCTCTCCAGTTTGCCACGCACAAAAGCATGCTCATCCAACGCGAGATTTTGGCCCTGATTCCAAAAATCGCCAATGCCAGCCCTGAAGGTTCGTTGTCGCATCTGCACGGTCTATACCACCTGTCTTGAAAGCTTCAAATCTTCTCGTCACTCAAATTTGAAACACCCAATATCCTGGCCCAGGGTTTGTGAGCTACTCCAGTCGGACCAAGACCACAGGCGCCTTTGCCAGCAGCGCCATTGATTTCATCATGCGTTGCATGCAACGAGATCGGGATCGTGGCGATGGTCTCGTGGCCTTTGGTACGTACAGCAAGCTTCTTCTTGCCCCAAACACACCACATGCCCCGCACGCTACACTTGGCGTCACTTGACCCTTGAATTGCTCGTCTTTTTCCCCAGGCAAGCTTGCTTCGGCCTTGGGCCCACTGCTGCAGTCGCAAATTCTGCAAGTGCGACAAGTGCTGGTGGAAATTCGCCTTGTCCTCACCAAGGTTGGGTTCATTCCATGCCCCCTGTTTTCTCACTCGTCCACACTACTTGTCTCTGGCTTGTTTACGGTTCGAGCCGTGCCAGCTTCTTGACACGGCAGTCTAACCTTCACCTCTGGGTGCTTGACGAACAGAAGGTGCGAGTGACCGAGGCCATCACCGATGCCGCTTGTGTGTGCTTGGGCCAGCTCGTGCGTGCTCTGGGTACAGCCATTCGTGCCGACGTCACCATGGTGGACCAGGATGCTGACTCCAGCAAAACCCTCTTGGGTACGTGAGACGTGCGCGCTAGCTGCTGCTCGAAGCATACCTCTCCTCTACACCCGCTCCTGGCTTCATCTCCCTTCTCACACTCACTCAACTCTGTTAAATGCCCGTGCTCTCAGACCTGGTATACGAGGCTGGTCTCTCTGAAGAGTTGGTACACGGCCTCACACTGATAGCAGAAGGCCTGCCCTCACTGGCCGGTCAGCTCAAGCGCCGCACGCTGGATCTTTTGTGCACCGTCCTCCAGGGCACGCCCTATCACCACCCAGGACACCCCGATTCACGTCGGCTCAAGCAGACACCGCAATTGCCTCCAGGCACGCTGCTGGCCTCCACCCCGAGTCGCACGACCACGCGCCGCAACTCGGTGAACAAAGGCAGCAAGGCCTCGACCGTCTTGGCTGCTGGGGCACACACGCCTAACCGCCGCGCCTCCAAGGCTGTCGATATTCCTCTGGCCCCAAACCAGCAACTTATCGTTCTGGCCCTCCGTACGCTGCGTACATATGACCTCAGTGGATTCGTGCTCACCAAGCTGGCCCGTGATACCATCGCTACCTACCTGTCTGACGATAATGACACGGTTCGCGAGGAAGCTTGTCTGACTTGCGCCGCCCTGGTCGTACCTCCGACTCAGATGCCGCTGGCCAATGCCTATCGCCTCGAACCTCGCGCTGTCACGGAGGTACTCTCGCAGTTATTGTGCAACGCCATCTCTGAGGGCCGCTCCACCATTCGCAAGCACATTTTGGAGGCCCTCACGCCACAGTCCTACCCCTATCTCTGCAAAGCCGAGACCCTGCAACTCCTTTTCGTCTGTCTTCATGACCGGGACCATCAGACGCAGCTCACAGCCATGAGCCTGGTTGGAAACCTATGCGAGTATAACCCTGCATACGTGGTGCCCGCCCTCCGTCGCCAGTTGGAGAACTATTTACAGACATTCAAGCTGGTGGACACGGCGGCTGCAGAAGAAGCCAACTCTCGTTTGCTGCAGGAGCTCATCCGCTCTGCACCTCGCGTCGTCGTCCCTTACGTTGACGCCATCATGAAGGCCCTCTTGCCGCGTATCTCACACGCAAACGAGGAAATTCAGATTGCTGCCCTCGGTGCCGTGGGCGAACTCGCCGTGTTCAGTGGCCTACAGCTCGAGGAGCACCTCGCCGTTATCATGCCCGTCTTGCTTGATTGTTTGCGGGACCACCTCTCCATGAACCGCCGACTCTCAGCGCTGGTCGTTTTGGGCAAGGTGGCTCGCGGCACGGGCTATGTGACCCTGCCCTACGAGGATTATCCGGCTCTCATGAAGACGTTGTATGCCTGCTACGTCGAGGGCCAGAGCACTCAGATTCGCCTCGAGGCCGGCCGCGCCCTTGGCGTCATTGGTGCACTGGACCCTCATCGTGAAAAGTCGGCCACTGGCGAAGCGGAAGCGGAGGCCAAATCCAATCAGGCCAAGTTGGATGCGCAGCAGGTCTCTTCGACCGTTAGTCAGCACGCCACTGCCAATGCGCCTGATGAGCTTCAGTTCACCATTGGCAGCGAGGAGTACTACATGGACCTTGCAGTCCGCGAGTTGTACATGATTGCCTACTCTCCGGCCATGGACACGAACATGCACGAAAACCTTGTTCACTCGCTGGGCACCATTGTCGTCAAGTCGGGCATCAAGCTTGTGCCCTATCTTCCAATGATTGTCCCCGCCTTTTTGCACATGGTGGAACACTGCAACCCAGCACGCCGGCACATGCTCTTCAAGGAGATTTCCAAGATTGTTGACATCTTTGGACCTCATGTGCGACCATACATGAACGACATTATTCAGTGTGTCACGCGCTACTGGTACCCTCTATCTGATACCCACGCCCGCAACATGAGCCACGCCGTGCATCCGGCTGTCCGCGCCGTCCTCAAAGCTGCCATGATCAACCTGGGCCGTGAGTTCAAAAAGTACGTGCCAGAGCTGCTGGAGCACGTCATGGCCATCATTGCCTCGGATCAGACGGACACGCGCCGTCCAACCGTACACGCCTTGGAGGCCATCTCTCTTTTGGGCACACTTGTCGAGGATCGCATCTACTCGGTCATTCGGGGCCTTGTCAACGTCATCGCTGCCTACGTTGGCGTACCGGTGCACGTGCGGCAGGAGGCCCTCAACACACTCGAACTCCTCATGTACGAGATTCCAATCGGCGACCAGGCTTCGGGCGTCTTCAACGCTCTCATGCGCGTTGTACGCTACGAGCCGCGTCTGCGGCCTCCCGCAGTTGCTGCCTTGCAGCCCCTGGTCATGCAGCTTGGGCACGGTTTCGAGAGCAAAGGCCATCGCCGTGCGTTGGCCAAGCTTGTGGAAGAGATCGACATGCAAGTGGACGAGTCCAACATCTTGCTGGAGCTTCTTGAGTCGGGCGCCAACGGCCGGCCGAGTCAGGCTTCGCGCGAAGCCTTCAAACGCCCCACCGACTTTGCCAAGCCCATGGAACCCGGCAGCGCTCGCGGTGTGAATCGCGCCAAACCCGAGCTCATTCTCAAGCTAGCCAAGCAGGCTGACGACAGCCTCAACTTTGACTGGCCCACGTGGATTCGCCGCTTCTCCGTTAGCCTGCTGAAAGAGTCCAAATCGCCTTCGCTGGCTGCCTGCCAGTACCTCGCCCTGCGCTTTGAGCCCTTTGCACGCAAGGTTTTCAACGCCGCCTTTGTCTCCTGTTGGAAGGAGCTGACACCCGAGGAGCAGGCCGAGATGACGGACGGCCTGGAGCGCGCCATGAAGGCTGACCACATTTTCATGCAAATGATGCTCAATGTGGCGGAGTTTATGTCTCACTATTTTGAACGCGTGGGTCTGCCCTTCTCCAACCAATTGCTTGGGCGCATGGCGCTCGAGTGCAACGCTTATGCAAAGGCCCTCCGGTACAAGGAGAGCGAGCTCGGCAGCCATTTTGATATGCGATGGCTATACAGCGGCATTGTTTTGCGCCCCGTCCAAGCAACGGAAGAAATTCTGGGGGCAGTTGAGGATCTCATTGAGATCACGCAGGCTTTGCAGCAGCCTGAAGCAGCGCAGGGCGCGCTCACCTTTGTGCGAATGCAAACGACCTTGTCTGCGGACACGGACATTCAACCCAGCTGGTACGAAAAACTCGGCGAATGGGACAAGGCCTTACTGTCCTACAGCCAGCTCCAAGACCCAGAACACCCGTCCTTCGATATTGATCTGCGCATTCTCGTGTGTCTGGACAACCTGGGCAAGTGGACCATTCTATATGACAACCTGGTGCACCTGTGGGCACAGAGTGATGTGGCCCAAAAGCAGGCGCTGGCGCCTCTGGGCTGCTCGGCCTCGTGCGGGCTTAATCGTTGGGAGTCCATCGCCACGTTCCTGTCCTTCATGGACGAGCAGGATCCCATGACACCCTTCTACGGCGCCGTGCTGGCCATTCACAACGAGGTGTACAAGGTCGCGCAGGACCTGATTGACAAGTCTCGGGACCTGCTTCAGCCTACACTCGCAACACTGTGGGGTGAGTCGTACGCCCGCGGCTACAATCATGTCGTGACGTTACAGCGCTTGGCTGAGATGGAGGAGGTCGTGCAGTACAAACAGTTGGACCGAGACCCCATCGCCCAAGACCGAATCCGTGGCATGTGGTTGACTCGTCTCAATGGCTGCCAGTACAATCCGTCGGTGTGGCAACGAATCTTGGAGGTTCGCGCGTTGGTGCTTACCCCCGAGGAAGACTGCCTCATGTGGCTCAAGTATGCCAGTCTTTGTCGCAAGTCTTCAACGCTGGGCTCGGCCGAGCACTTTAGCCGCATCGGCCTCGACCGTAGCCACAATACCCTCGTAAATCTGCTTGGTAGGTTTCCTTGCCCACCCACTTCCCACTTCCCGCGCCCCCTAGCTTCTTTGATCTTGTATTCTTCTTGAGCTGTGTTTGTCTTTTGTTGTTCATCCCGTGCACACCTTGCCGTGTGTGTCCGCAACTCACCCGGCCCCGTCCGTCGCTCGCTGGGACTTGAACCAGGCTGCGACGCCAACGCAGACCCCGAGTCGCAACTCCCTCACCATAATCCACCCATTGCGTATGCTTACATTAAGCACGTGTGGCACACTGGTGCGCATGAAACCGCCATCCAGTATCTCTATGTCCTCATTGACGAGCTCAGCGCGCGCAAGGAAGAGGACGAACAGCAGCCCGAAGATGTGCGACTGCTGGCCCGCTGCTACCACAAGCTCGGCCTCTGGCAGGCTGCGCCACACCTTTCGTCAGCAGGCACCGTCAACACGGATCTGACAGACGAGCTGATTGAGTCGATTATCGAGTCCTTCCGCTACGCTACCCTCTTTGATCGCGTCTGGTACAAGGCCTGGCACTCGTGGGCCTACATGAACTACGAGGCAGTGAAGCACTACGGCCAACGCCGTAACCCTCGCGCCTACCTGCAGCACGCCATTATGAGCATCAAGGGCTTTTTTAACAGCATCGCCCTTTCGGATGAGAGCAGCCTTCAAGATACTCTGCGCCTCCTCACGCTTCTCTTCAGCTACGGCCACCACAGTGACGTGGTTCAGACGTTCGCTACGGGCCTCAGCACGGTCAACATTGACACTTGGCTGCAGGTTTTGCCGCAGCTCATTGCGCGTATCCAGATTAAGGATGGAAAGATTCGTGGCCTTTTGCACGAGCTGCTGCTTCAGGTTGGCCGCAAGCATCCACAAGCACTGCTTTTCCCGCTGACGGTGGCAGCCCACAACCATCGCGAGGCGAGCGCGCGGCGGGATGCCGCACAGGTGCTGCTGAGTCGCATGCGGCAACACTCGAGCGAGTTGGTTGAACAGGCTCTGATCGTCAGCGAGGAACTCATCCGCGTGGCCAATCTGTGGTCGGAGAAGTGGTTTGAGGGCATCGAAGAGGCTTCCAAGCTCTATGCAGATCGTCAGCTGGACGCCATGTACGCCACGCTGCTGCCGCTGCATGAGCAGCTCAACGGCATTGGCCAGGATGCTACGATTGCCGAGCAGGCGTTTTTGAAACTGTACGGTGCCGAATTGCGCGACGCGTGGGAATGGATGCGAAAGTATCAACGGACGGAAGACAAACAAGACATTACCACCGCGTGGGACCACTACTTTCACGTGTACCGTACCATCACCAAGGCACTGCACAACCTCACCTCGCTCGAGCTGAAGGAGGTGTCACCCAAGCTCCTTGAAGCAGGAGATTTACAGCTCGTAGTCCCCGGTGCCTACGATCACACCTCTCAAGAGCAGGTTTACATTGACTCCTTTGCACCGCAACTGCGCGTGATCAACTCCAAGCAGCGTCCGCGACGCCTGACGATCAAGGGTAGCAACGGGCGCACGTATGAGTACTTGCTGAAGGCCAATGAAGATCTGCGACAGGATGAACGCGTCATGCAGCTGTTTGGGCTGGTCAACGTGCTCCTGAACGGTAGCTCTCTGACCATGCATAAGCATCTTCACATTTTTACCTACTACATCCTGCCCCTGTCGCCCAAGCTGGGTCTCATTGAATGGGTACCAACATGCGACACGCTGCACTCCTTGATTAAGGAGTACCGCGAGCGCAGCGGTGTAGCGCTCAATGCGGAAGTGCGCTTCATGCTCCAGCTTGTGTCCAACATGGAGCAGCTAACCCTCATTCAGAAGGTTGAGGTTTTCCGGTATGTTTCGACCCTGGCTTGCTGAATGGCGCAAAACAAAAGCTGCGCTTAGCCTTGATTGGCTTTTGGGGCTCTCTTGTTTCTTCATTCATTTTTTTTTCCTTGTTCTTCTTCTTGTTCTTCTTCTCCTTGTTCTCTTCTTCTTGTTCTTCTGGTTGTTGTTCTTCGTTTTGTCCGTCTTCTTCTGTTCTCATTGCGGGACTGGCCAATGACACGTTTGTTAGACACGCCCTGTCTCGTACAACGGGGGATGATCTCGCACGCGTCATGTGGCTGCGCAGCGGCAACTCGGAGCAATGGCTTGAACGCCGTGGCAACTTTACGCGGTCTTTGGCCGTCATGGTATGCAAGCGCTTCAATGGCTTTTTACCTTTCCTCGCACTTTCCTCACTTGCCTCCTCTTCAGCCCTCGTTGCTCGCACAATCTGATGATCTCCTTGCCTGCCCCATGATTTTGCCTGTAGTCGATGGTGGGCTACATTTTGGGTCTAGGCGATCGCCACCCCTCTAACCTCATGATTGATCGCCGCACGGGTGGCGTGATGCATGTCGACTTTGGCGACTGCTTTGAGGTGGCCACGCAAAGATCCAAGTTTCCGGAAAAGGTGCCCTTCCGTCTCACACGGATGCTGATTGCCGCCATGGAGATTACGGGCGTGCATGGAACATTCCGCATCACTTGCGAGAACACCATGTCGGTGCTGCGCGACAATGCGGACAGTGTCATGGCCGTGCTGGAGGCATTCATTCACGACCCTTTGATTGACTGGCTCTTTGCACGAGGACGTAACGGTGAGTCTTGGTCTTGTTTTGCCACTTGTCGCTGGGTCCCACGGGGAATTGACTGCTTGATGCGTGGCATGCACCGACTGCTCTCACCTGGCCCGTTGCCCTTGCAGAACGTGTGCGAGGAGAGCCCTCCATTCGCAGCGATGCGAGTGTTAGTGGCTCGTCACTGCTGGCGCGTCACGGCATGGGCGAACAGCACACGGATGAGGTGGTCAACCGTCGTGCATTGCGCGTCATTGCCCGCGTGCGCGACAAGCTAACGGGTGCTGACTTTTCTACGGTATGGTCTTACCGCCCTTCACGCTGTGTCAAAAACTTGGAACAGATTCGATGAACACCTCACTCCGACCGCGTTTTTGTCGTGACTTTTGCACAGGAGGAGATTTTGGACATTCCATCTCAGGTGGCTCGCTTGATTCGCGATGCTACCTTGCATGAAAATCTCTGTCAGCACTACACGGGCTGGTGTCCGTTCTGGTAATGGACGCTACCTACCGGTGGTTAATCCCAATGAATCAGGGGCTGGTGCCCGATGGGGCATCATGCTAATGAACGGTGTTGGCTCAATTTCATTGATTGTTGTCGTACTGGTTTATCCCTGCTCCCTCTTGTGGCATGTGTATTTCCATTGCTTGCCATGTCGCCGTATCGTCGTGTGTCGTTTGGGACAGACATTATCTAGGCTGAGTGTGTGAGTGTTTATGCGTGCGCACCCTGCTATTTGTATTGTGAGCAACCTGTCCCTTGATTGTCCATGTTAAGTTTAATGTTTCGAGGCGGAGGAAGGTTTAAGCTCCAGAGACAAGACGTGCCCCTGCGCTGTATCTTCATAGGTTTGGTTGTTTAATGCGAGGAGTCCTTGATGATGACCATCGTGTGTGATGCTCAATCGAGAAGTCCGCACGCAGCCCTTTCCAACTGCCTTTCGTTCTGACGTGTAATGCTTATCATTGATGGCCCAAGCTCAGGTGAGTGGGCTACCGCAATGGCAAATATCAAGGCTTGTCATAGATTTAGAAACAGCTTGGAGAAGAAGCAGGTTCATTCACAGCATCAAGGGGTCAATGCTGCTGCTTTTGAAGCACGGTTAACACACACATGTGAAAACAAATGGATGGGAACAACACATTCAGCGGGCACCGAGCGCCAACCTTTACAGGACAGAAAATGGAGAGAAAAAAACAAAAAACAAACAAAAAAAAAAAAAAACAAGGAAAGAAGGTCGCTTTACACTTTACTTATCGTGCGGGCAGAGGAGTGTACTTTTCCGGTGAGGACACGAACATGCCCGGTTGGGGTTGGGTGTAGGCTTCAACAAACACCTGCGAAGCAAATGGCATGAGACGAGAACAGACTGTGGACTGTGGCGTGCAGCAAATAGAGGACCCACCTGTCGGCCATTGTGAAGAGCTGGCCCTTGGTAATCATAGAGGGGAAAGTATTCATTCTGGCTCATCATGCCGATGCCGACTTGAAAATGAGCCTGTGCGACACCACCCAATTTCCGATGATACCAACTCGTGAGCCTAGACAAACCGCCCACTTTTTTTTTTTTTTTTTTTTTTTTTCCTCCCCTTGAAAAAGCACACGCTTGATAACTTGGGCGGCCGGCTGGGGCGAGCTGCACAAACCTTGACGACGTAGTTGGTGCCGGCAGGGGGGTTGGGGTCATCGATTCGGGCATACTGGCCGGTGCTGGTGTACATGCCGGGCTGTGCCTGAACCCAGACTTTGCAGTAGACGCCGGGCATGGGGCCGGTGTGCATAGCGG